TTTCTTCATGGAGGCGAAACAAGGAGAAACAATATCAGGCGGGCAGCAAGTATTTCGGAGACAGTAATTTGTGCGAAAGCGAATCGAACATTGCACAATCACGACTCCTCAGCTCTGGTGAGGATGACTGAAACTGTCTTTCCTTTTTATAGATTTATTCTATATTCAGTTATGTTTATCTTTTTTTTGTTAGAGCTAATTATTTTCATTGGTTTCGTGTATGAACCTATAAACAAAATACTGTTAAAAAAGGTTGAATAAGGAATCAACCAGGGTCCAGGAACAGATTCATCCATTTTACATTCATGATTCTTATGGGAATGGGAAAAAAAAATCAGTTTTCAAACCTTTCGGTTCATGGACGGCCTTCATGAACGAATTAAGTTCGAAAAACTGAAGATCTGTTTTAGTTCATCTTTTTGGGATGGTGTCTTTAAATGGTGACTTTAATTTCTGTCAAAGTCACTTTTTGTCCTTGTGTTTGGACGTATATGTTCTAATCAGACGTGTCTGGAGTGTTTGCCTTGAACAGTGTTTTGTCGGCACATAAAGAATATCAAATACACTGGAAAGTTTGCAGTGCAATAACCATTCACATACTACACACCCACACACACACACACACATAAACCCTCTCCTCATTTCAGGAAGTCTGTAATAAGAACTTCAACCTCTTCCTGAGCTGTTGTTGATTTGGTCATTTTGCTCTGAGCCCGTCCTCGGCTGAGCTGCACCTGTGATTCTGCAGCTGTTGGCTGATGAGCAGCCTGATAAGTAAATCTTTTCCACATCTTAAACCTACACAGTTGGAAACACCAACTGTCTGAGGCTTCAGGCCTTCGATCACTCCCAAAGTCTGTCACCCCTTTCACCCTGCCTCCCCCAGGACTCGAGCTGACTTTAACCGACTGGCCGGCGACCAACTGAGTCTGAGACGCCTCTTTAATTGACCGCTGTGTGAATGAATAGGGAAACAGGGGAAGCGTCTCTGTGGTCATCAATAATTAGGCTGGCCCCTGTATTATCAGCCATTGATTATGTGCAAGGCATCATCTGAGGCCCGGGAGTCTTCTTCCTGCTTTTCGTTAGCCTAATTCCTGGGACTGAATGATGAATTGATAATCAATAGCAACAGCTTAATAAATCCCCAAATGGGATGATGCCAAATCAGGATTTTATTTCCCGATTCGGCTCGATGCAATGATAAATCCAGCTTCTTTTTTTTTTTACTGTCTGTTTCACATCAGTCTTGGCAGGAAAGCCTGTATAAAGACACTGTAAAACACTTGTTTGAGCTGTTTATAAAAAAACAGAAAAATAATTAGAAAAGCCCCTCGAGGGAGAGAGGAGAGGAAACGGCTGTAATATTTATAATGCTGGTAAAAACGTGTGAAATACCGCCATGACGACATGCCGCCGGCCTCTTCATTTGCTTAAGTGATCAGCAAGTTCAGGATGAAATAGTGAAGCACGGAGCGGGAGGCTGACAGTGCCTGGCACTCCCTTGCCCGCTGCTTTACCCATGATTCCTGGAGTTGATTAAGGCACCCCATTTTTCATTACATTAGCTCATGAACTGTTTGGCCAATTAGAGAGATTAAAATCATAAAAGTGCCTGAGGCCATCTTTCTTTGTGAGGTTTTGAGCAAAAATAATGTTGACCATGGTCGCCAATGTCCTCATTAAAGCATGATAACATTCAGCCTTTGGATGCCTCCCCTCAAACTATTCAGGTGGCTCACTACTGCCCCCCCTCTAACAGCCTGGTCTTCTTCAAGGGGAGCCTGGCACCTAGAATGTAATTATCCAAATGACTGTGGCAGTATTTAACAATATTGTCATCATATTCCCGGCAGTCATCTGTTCATTTTGATAATGGCAAATATATATTTAAGTTTGTCCAGCTCTTGGACGAAGGAAGCAACGCTTACGTGTTTCTGCATTTGAAAAGTTGACGAGATATTTCTAAACTTCTGTGTTTTTTTAAAGCTTTTGAAACATTTTTGCTCTAATACGATATTCTTACAGTTTTCATTCAAGTCTATGTTCAAGTCAGAGAGCATGCAGCTTCCCATCCTTCCCTGTAGGTGGTGCTGTGAAAACATTTAAACCTTCCTAGTCAACCCAAATTGTTTAGTGAAATATTCGACTTTGATTGTCTCTCAGTTACAGGCAGTACAAAAATCAAGTGAAATATTTGGCTTTGATTGTCTCTCAGTTACAGGCAGTCAGCCATATGGTTGCTGTATGTAGCACAGAGCAGTGCTGTTCTATGAGGCCGTACACTCCCCAACAATGTTGTGCAAGACACAAAATCCACATGGCACCTGGGTCTTTATCACTTCACGACTCACTACTAATTGAAATGCATTTTTGCTTATGTTGAAAACAGGTTAAATGCCTCTGTGGGTTTTTTCCCAGTGTCATTCTGTGGTGTTACCATCAGGGGGGGCATCAAGGAGCGGAAGTGGAAATGGTAAAAGCTTTATTTGAGCCTTCCTGCCCAGGAGGCTCAAACATAAACACACTCTACAGCCCGGCCCTGTGTGTGTGTGTGTATGCTCTAAAGAGAATCATATCAATCTTTTATTCATGCTGTTTAATGTAACCCTTTAATCTGGGCAGGGACCCCCTCCACCCCCACCAGAGAGGTGGGGGCGACGGGGGGGGTCTCTAATCCAGGAGAGCCAACAGTCTGTTGTTGGTGCTGTACACCAGCTCTGAGTACATGAGCCCCCATTGTGCTTCCAATCAATCATGCAGTCATTACAGCAGCTCCATAAATGCCAACAGCCAGACCCAAGGCTCCAGTCAACAGCTTTTTCACATCCTGTTTCTGCCAGAGCTGCCAGTGTGTGGGCACGACTGCCACCTCGCCAGCACGGCTATACTGCTGTGTCAGTGTGGCCTCCGTCCGTGCGCCGGCACTGCATTGTTATGACGCTCCAGTGCCTTGTGCTGCTGCAGGGCAGTGCCACAAAACACACACACAATCACTCATTGCCATTTCCCTGCCAGTCAGCTGCGAGATTGGATGCAGAATTTTATGAATTAATTATGGGAAATTGTCAGAACTGTAAGAGTGACGTTTTTATTTATACGTCGTCGTCGTTGTTGTAATCCAGAAGAAGGAGCAGGTTCCCACAGCGGGGCGCGTTTGATTTGCCCCGAGCTTTCACAGCAGCAGGAGCACTTAGCTTCCAGCTAAAGTTAAAAAAGACAGTTAATGTCAAGTGTGGTTGAATTTGATTCGCACACAAAGTTAACAGTTTTAATAAGAAAAAAAAGAAAGAAAGAAAGAAAGAAATGCCTGTGCAGACAGAAGCCTAAATAATTTACTCATCTGCTACGTGTCACTTCAGAATATTCCAGAAGCTGAATCGTACTGTCGTACTATGACCCGGTCCTTGCACCAAAACCCATTTAGGAATCAGTAAAATGTTAATGAATTAATTTTTAAAAAAACTATAAAAAAGACAGTCAAAACCACAGTTGTCGCCTCCTGCAGCAACGTTCTCTCTGGTTCCTGGAGGTGGAGAAGGTGAAGGACAGTGGACAGGTCAGGGAGGTGGTGAGGAGGAGTGGACAAATGGCTCCCAGCCCAGAACAATTTCATGCACCTTTACCTCCAACAGCTGTCCCAGAGAAACACAATCTGCCTAGTGATGACCTTTGACCTGTCCTCCTTCTGGATGCTGATCTGTAGCACTGATTACAGGAGCTGAATCATGAAGGACGCACATTCACGTTCACATCTTTCTTCTGTTGTGACTCATAATATTGAATATCTTTCACGCTTTCAGTCGACGCTGCATTCAGTATAAGACGCACTTGACGATGGTTGATACAAAAGTGTGGTGTCTGTGCAACGTCTGACATTGGTCAGTTGTGTCAGTTACATCTTAGTTTGAAAATCCCTGAACCTCCTGATCATTGACACTAGATGACATAAAATAGTTATATGTTTTGTGGAAATGTCTGAACCTGATTGGTAGAAAAAAGAAAGTAAAAATACAATGATTTTTTATATATATATTTGGTAAATATATAAATAACAACTGTACATATTGATAGATTTTTATTTGTTTTTTTAAATGCTTAAAATACAAAAATGAAACAAAAAGTTGTTTCTCAACAGCAGAGCACTGTAAAGATACAGTATAATGAATACATTTATAAAGAAAAAGCCACTAAAATGCTGCCTTGAATACCAAATAAAATAAAAATCGAAGGAACATTTATTACAAATTGCTACATTGCCAAAAAAAAATATACATTGAGACGGACGTTTCTGCCAAAATCTAAGCTTCTTCTGAATTTCTATAGAACAATAACACAGTTGTTCTGCACATAGCAGCGATGCTAAGCCCCAAACCCACATTTGTTGAAACACTGCCTTGACTTTTGCATCGTTAAAGACCACAGCTTTGATAAGGAGGATTAAAAGCTCACATCTGTTCACATCTGACAACCGTGATCCAAACTCCCAACGTACAACATCAGTATCAGTATGTAACATGAAGAGAGATAGCAGAGCGCGTCGACATCAGTCTCTGTCAGAGTAAGTTAGACAAAAGGTCCTTCTGCAACCGAAGCCCGGACACACAGGCGCCCCCTCCCTGTAAATAACAGATAAATGAAATGCATTTTGGTCTTTGAGCCGTCACGCTTGTAATCACTGTTTATATCGTCCTGTTTAAACAGTTTAAACTGAGTCAAGGTTATTGAATGTTCAGTGGTTGAATGTTGTTTAAAATTCTGTTACAAGGTTTTGATGGTGTAAGAATTTCTAGGACCTAAAACTTACTGTTGTAATTTAGCAATAAAAACAGTACAAGGGAAACTTTTGAACTCATAAAATCTGACCTTTTTGAGTTTTGTTTTTCCATAAAAAAAGTAATATAGTACACTTCCTGAATCAGCTGCCCAGGCCACCTCAACTCTGTTTCTCCGGTGTCGGAACTTCAAAAGTAACATCTTTTATTTCTGATCATTTACAGCTCTAATGGTCTCTCCAGCCTGACATCTGTGACGACACAGTGCTGTTTCATACAGCAGTTTCCTCTGCTGAGCCATGAAATTGTATCACCTCACTGTCGGATGTGCGAACGCTTCAGCTTCATGAACTCGTACGGGGACAGATGGCCACGGTGTAGGTGTAGTCACCGGACAGACATCACACGTCAACCATCAAGAGCGTACGAACTCACGTACCAACGCAATGGCTTTTAAGGTAATGGCTTCATTACAATACCACTGTATCTCAGTGACTGCAGCTTAAATGAAACAGGGACGAGACCCACAATGCATCAGGGGAGTTAAGGATCAATGGAGTAAACCCAAGACAAAATTCCCCTTAAAGACATAATCATGACAATCAATATTTACAAACCCATTACCATGATTACCATTACTGCCATTTACCTTTTAACCATTACACTGTTGGGCTGCTTCATTCATCCATCCATCCATCCATCCATGCATCCATCCATCCATCCATCCACAAAGTTGGCCAAAAACAGGGAAACAAATAGAACACATTACAAATTGAAAGACATAGACATAAAAAGACCAGTAAAAACAGGTAAACTAGATACATCAATAAGAGTTGAGAAAAGTCAATACAATTCAATAAGAAATCAACTCCTTACACTGAGTAAAAAACAAAATAATAAAATAAATGTGTCTAAAGAGAGGATATTAAAAACAGAAATTCAAAAATAAATCAACTCCTTACACTAAAAAGCCAGTGAGAAAATCATAAAATAAAATAAGTGTCTAAAGAGAGGATATTAAAAACAGTAATTTAATCTTTTTTTAAAATACCATATGAAGTTACGACCAAAATTATATATGTATTACTTGCTGTACATATTCTCCCACTATAATGTCACTATGAAGAGAATCTCTACTTAAATTATTTTTTATTTCATCTAAAACTGAATAATTCCTCAACATTCTCATGGCCAGTGTTCCTCCTGATCCACTTCACACTTCTTTCAGTCTGTGTCAGTTAAATTTATTAAAGTTCCAAACCCGTGACTCATGTCTACCTATATGGAGGTGGAGTGTTGTAATCAGAGGTAAGGTCTCACCCTGCCACCTGCAGCTTTATATTTAGATGCTTTTGATTCATTTTGTGAGGGTTTTTTTCCCCCCATAATTATCAGGTGCTACACAAATCTCCCTCTTGGCTTTTCAGCAACCCTGTGTCCGCGTGCCAAAAATCAAGTGAGGTAAAATAAGCAGACTGTTAACCTCGCTGACAGTGGACCACTGCCACCATTTAGTCTGGTATTTTTCTTGGTTTTCGGCCAGTTCTTGGCCTAAAGTGAATACAGCACCGTGGAGATCAGCCCGAGAGCAGGTGACTGAAATAACCATTAAAGTAAAGCAGCAGGACCAGGAGCAGTAAAACTTCTGTGAACACGGCACCAGCTTCCACTGGTTTTGGGAAGCCATTTTGCTGATGTGTCTCTCCTGGCCATTCAACCAGTGACGGGTATTGTGGGAGAACAGACCGTCTGTATTCACGCCTTTAGAATCTTTCCTGATTGGCACCATTGTCACCAAAACAGAATTATCTTTTCCATTTAGTCGTCGCATGTCTTGCATTGTGTTTAACAGCAGCTGGGGGGAAAAAGCTCATGGGCTTTGCCAGCGGAGATCAGTCTGAATTTCTATATTCCTGTCATTTAGCATGAGAGCAGTGAACCACTGAGGTATCAGGGTGCAGACAATGTCAGCCGAGTTTCATTGGTAAGCTTGCCAAGTCTTATCCTGGCTTTAATGGGGTTTTTTTTTCTCAATAACAATGAACAGAGCGAATGTACCACAAAGACACAATCAGCCAATTCTTGAATCCTAATGAGGACGGACACATGTTAATATGCGGCGCCGTGCAGCAGCCACGCTCTCCCTTCTGAGCCACAATGCTGCGCCAGTCGAAAACAAGTTGCATCTCCTGACAGTTTTGGTTGGAGTTTAGGAAAACAGCCCAGAGGACTTGTAGTTACAGTATGTGTTCAGTGTGTGAGTGAGGGCAGCAGGAAGGCTTTTCTAATTACAGTCGCCGAGGAGGAAAATATGTCCCAAACAAGACTCCGCTGTAATCCGAGTCAGACCCGGCCACTCCCAGCTGCAGCAGCGCAGGGACATTGAAAATGCTGAAGTTATTTTTCATGGTTTAAATGACACATCAGGCCTCAGGCGATCAATCATTCCAGTGTTTGAATGTAACGCAGCCCTCGGAGAGGGGAGGGGCCGACCGCTGCTGCCGTGACCCCGGTGAGAGTGTTCATGCTGGCTTTTATCGCCCGCTCAATTATTGATGGCATCACAGTTGGGCAGTTAAAAGTGCCTGAGTGCGAACTTCAGCAGGCCTGTTAGCAGTTTTGACATGTGGCACGCAAGATATTTATATGTAGCGTACATGAAGCGTGTGCAAATATAGGCAAGCAGGTGGCGTACGCTAAACAGCAGATGCGTTGCGAAAAGCGGGGATTGCTGCTGCCGCTGCTGCTGCTGCTGCTGGTGCTGTGGGGGTCAACAAGGTTAGTGGGTCGGAGGCCCATGTTGTGAGCAAACATTCACACTCACACACACAAACACACACATGAGCCCCATCTATAGATTCAATTCATGATGAGCTCGGCTCTTAGATGATGAGTCAGTGTACAACAGCCAAGAGCTAACGCAAACCAGCGACACCCGCGATGCCTTCAAGCTGCTCTCAGAAAGTAAAAAAAAACCGAGAGATTCTGTGTTCTGTTATTAACAGTTAGACTTTGTCGAATCTTCTCAGAAACATAAATCAGTAGTTTATTCCCTCATGACCTTAATGTGTTTTCTGTGTGGGGTTCTTTGTGAAGTTCTGTGGTTTTTTTAAAAAGTGGGGAAGTTCTTAATGCCTCTCCAAAAAGACTTCATTATCTGATGATCAATCCATATTAAACTTTACTGGCAATAAATGATCTAATATCTTTTATCACTTTTTTTTCCCCGCCCAGTGCCACCATGTGTTTTAGCTTAATGTCAAGTTTGTAATACAGCCACATCCCCTCCACTCAGAGCCCAGGCATTTGGTTTATTGATGTCGTGTCGTTGGAAAAATTGATTTGTGTGTTTCCTGTGGGATGGATTTTTACTCCAGTC